AGTCCCTCTCTCTCTCGCTCTCACTGTCTCTCTGTCTCGCTGTCTCTCTCTGTCTCGCTGCCTTTCTCTGTCTCTCTCCCTCTCTCTCTCTCTCTGTATCTCTCTGTCACGCTCTCTCTCTCTGTATCTCTCTGTCTCGCTCTCTCTCTGTATCTCTTTGTCTCGCTCTCTCTCTCTCTGTATCTCTCTGTCTCGCTCTCAGTCCCTCTCTCTCTCGCTCTCACTGTCTCTCTCTGTCTCGCTCTGTATCTCTCCCTGTCTCTCTTTCATGTACGTGCTGGGGTTGCTCAGGCCAACAACTGCGGCCTCTACAATGACTCTGGTCGGGAGGTCCTACGCTTCGAGTCCCGACGGAGTTGGATTTTTGACGTCGGTAGGTTGAATTCAGCCGTGGTCTACAGCTGAATAGAAGTGGCTGACTGCTCTGATCGCTAGCTTCCCATGGTTTCTTCGATCAACACCAACCGAATGCCTGCGCAGTCTGGTTCACGGACCGCACGCCACGCGACCTGTCTCGCCTTTGTCCCTTCTTGTCCTCTTACTCACAAACTTATACTCACACACATATTGGGAGATTAGTTAGGAGTCTAGAGCTTGTGCTCTCTGGTATAGTGCCCTACTGGAGGTTATACCTAGTGGGAAAACCCTCCCTTCAATATGATGTGTAAGGTGGCAGCGAATCTCACGTTCTAACTAGTAAGAAATACCGCCACCTCCTGTGATGTAACATTAACTACATTTACAGGAAAATTACTGTAGCAGTAGGAATGTGTTCATAACACTTTGACATTCTTATGTAAATCAATAAATGCAATTTTCTCTATGCTTTCGTTGCATTTTCTTTGTATGTGTTCTCCATTCTTGCGACGTCTCTTACGAAGCATCCTTCTGTGTCTTCTCGCGTATGTTCCTGCACCATCTTGTCCATCAGACTTTTCTATATTCCTATTCTAAATTTAAGTTACCTACAATCGACTTCTTTGTTCACTGCACTTTTTTACCTCAAGTCAAAACATCTGAGTGTTGAAAACCGTACTTCGCAGTCGTGTATTCTCGCTCGTCGCCTCTCGTTCGTCCCCATCTGACAGCAACTTCACCGATTATATGACACCACCCCCAATTCGCTTTGCAAACTTCTTTTACTGTCGCCATTGTTGCGAAATCTTGTAGATGTGAGTCGAGGAAAGATACCCCGCCATGCGTTTTCTTAGCCTTCGTGGAACGACTGTCAACCGCGACGACCAATTCGTCGCAGCCAAGTACCAGTACCGAGTTTCCTTACAGCGTATAAGGTCGCGGATTGGATGCCTCGGAAGATACAGACCAAAGTAAGACTCGCTTCAAAAGGGGGTTGTAAAAGTGTCGTTTCATGACGTGGGTTTATGACAAATAAAAGCACTTCGGAATGACAGTTCCTTTGTCATGAAATTTTCAGCAGCTTTCACTCTTTTTTTTCGTGTCATTTTTCTATCGGATTTTCTGCTCTGTTACCCATCTTCTCAAGTTCACTGGCACTGCTGCTCTGGGTGATATCGTTTCAAACCTTACTTTTCTTAGTATTGTCTCTACTTTATCTCTGGTCGCCACTTCTTCCCGGTGATAGGTGTCATTCGACATCCAGTCACATCATAAATAGCTTGGATCTGGAAGCTGTTGTTTTGTTACATTCCACGAATTTAAATTTGTTATTTGCTCACTATTACTCACATAAAGGAAGATGATCTTGGAATTCACGCTAAATGCAGCTTATTCAAACAAATATTTGTTCATAAAATGTGTTTTAGAAGAATACATGCTTGCCGTTATTTATTCATTGTAATTCTAACTAAAGCATTATGGTTAATTGCTGTTTACACCATGTATTGTTTTAAATTTGTACACATTTCAAAGGAGAAAATATGAAACGAAATACTTCAGTAAAATTTTTAAGAAACAGAGCAGCAACAGAAATTCCCCACTATGAAAAACGAAAGAACGCATACCGTGAAAAGCTTTGCTTGAAAATTTTTGTACAGCGAAAACAAACAAATAAGATACAGTTGTGATGAAACACTTATTCATAACTGTATCTGTTCCGGCTGCTGATAGGTGTCCTTTGCGAACAACACGAAGTGAGAACCGACGAGTGGATTTGAGCGAGCCCATCCATTCCGGTCGATGAAATACCGTCGAGCGCGCGTTACATTTGCGAGCGCGAGAACGCGTTGCGTGCGGAGAGAGAGAGCCCCACACTCAATAGACCCGTAGTTATCTGAGAGCTGTAGGCGACGCGCCGCTGGGAATACAGCGATGGTGGGGCGTGGGTGGACGCGGAGCTGGAGGGACGCGTTGTCATCGTCGGCGGCGGCGGCGGCGGCGGCGGCGGCGGGAGCCGGATAACAGGTTTGCAGAAGCGGATGCTCAGTGGCACGAACCGACGCACAAGCAGGCGGGCGGGGCGGAGGGAGGGGGGAAGAGGGGCGTGGTGGGCAACGGGGCGAGGCGCGGGTAGCGACCTGAGGGAACCACGATGCTCTTCCAAGCTGGCCAGGAAGGCAGGGCAGGCAAAGGATGAGAACTGGGGGCCGATCAGTAGGAGAATGATGGAAGATGACTGCCTCTAATGGTGTTTTTACGGATATCACCAAAGAAGCTGATGTTTGTATTGACTGTAGTTGATTGTCATTGCTAGGCAAATTACCTGGAAAATAAAATGATTAAGAACTGAGCGATTGAAAAATAAATCTTAAAGGTCGTACAACTGACAATAGTAATGTGAACAATGAGCACTCATAATGTTACTTAGAGATTTGGGGCAACTAAAGACAATAATGGTTTTATTTTTAAACAAATATTAAATATGATCAATCGCATTTAATGATGCTCCTCAACAAAATTCAACGCTCAACAAATTTTGCATCTTAGAAGAGTGCAATACATCTAGCAAAAGGGTTAAAACGGGTTTGTAGAAGATAACTGACAATGAAGGGGCAAGGTTGCCAAATCGCAGAACGGGATGGGTAATCCGGAAATACTGTTGAACATAAAATTAGTTGACCTAGTATCCGCAGCTCAGAGGTCGGCCGCGAACACTCGAGATGGCTGAGAAGTGTCATTCCAGAGTGGCGACTCGAGCGTGGGTAAATGGGCGGTGCGAGGGATGAGGCAGGAGTAGAAAGGTTGAGGCAGCGGGACAGTGTGAGGCGCGCCACAGCGAGGTGCACTTGTAAGGCGGGGCGCAGCGGAGCGGGGGTGGAACTAGACAAAGTGAGGTTGAACGGGGCGGGACGGGGCGGAGCGGAGCGGAGCGGAGCGGAGCGGGACGCAGCGGAGCGGGGAGTGGAGATGGGAGAGGCGCAGCGGAGTGGGCGCTGGAGCTGGGCGGGGGGAGGTTGAGCGGGGTGGAGCACAACGGAGCAGGGCCTGGTGGAGCGGGGGCGCAGCGGAGCGGGGGGGTGGAGCTGGAAGGGCCGCGGCAGAGTGGACGGTGGGGCTGAGCAGGAGGAGGTTGAACGGGGTGGAGCACAGCGGAGCGGGGCTAGTACAACGGGGTGTAGCAGAGCGAGGCGCAGTGGAGCGGGCGGTGGTGCTGGGCGGAGGCAGGTTGAGCAGGGTGGAGCACAGCGGAGCAGGGCCTGGTGGAGCGGGGGCGCAGCGGAGCGGGGTTGGAGTTGGGAAGGGGCGTGGCGGGGTTGGGCGGCGATTCCCGCGTGCGCAGCCGCTGATTTAGCGCGGGCGTGGGGAGGCAGGCCATTGGAGCGCCGATGCATATGCATGCAGGGCGGTCGCGAGCGCCGGGTTATTACGGCTGCCAACGGCCGACACTACCTCAGCCAACGCCACTGCACTTGCCTGCCGCCGTCGTCGCCGTCGCCTCCCCTCTCTCTTCCGGGCTCAGACAGCGAAATCGTTGCTGGTTCTGCGCTTACGACTGCTTCCCGCTTCGGTCAACACTGCCACCTGCGCGTCCTTTGTCACATCTCTACCATTATTACACCCCTCCAGTATATTACCTTCCTTCTCCCATCGCGAATTCCTGTAGGCCCTCCGTTATCCATCACCGCCCTATGCGATTGCATTCCTCACACCGCTCCTATCACCACCACCCTGACTCTGTCGCCTTCGTCTCTACTTTTGCCACCACAGCACCGTTCGCTACTCAGGTATACGGCGCGTCTCCCGCACGCACGCTCTCACGGCCGCACTGCCCTCGCCGCTCAGCCGGCACAAGCGGCCGGCTCGCAGCGCCCGTCGCCGTGCAATCATGCTCGGGTGGAGAAGCCCTGTTCGCAGTATCGCAGCTCTCGTAACTTCTACGTTTTGTGGACGCCGTAACCGCGAGCCGGCGAATGCCGCCGCCCGCCCGGCGCCGCGCAGCGCAGCGCTGCCGAAGGCCGCGCGTGGGATGAAGGGCTCTCTGCGCGCCGCGCGCTCTCCGGCAAAACGAAGCCTGACGATTATTGAATACTAACGCCACTGCTTGATGGAAATTCGCCAATCAGGTTGGAGGGGCCGTTTACTCGCCGCGACTGCGAAATGGCGGAAGAATATTGCTAATACGCTGCCTGGTACTTAAGCTAAAGCTATCAAACCTCTGGGCGTTTGAGAATTGATGATGTAATTTTTTGAAAAGCAGTTTACGTTTTCTAATTTTGCTGGAAATGTGCGCAGCTGTGCACGTTAATGCGCTATCAAGATAGTGCGCTTTCATAATGAAACAAACCTTGACCAGTCTTTTATGCAGTACTTTCCTTCACAGATAATAAATGTATATTCATATCTTCTTAAAGGTTTTTAGTGTGTTAACCGGATTTAACTGTGAAAGGGTATTTCACCGCCTAAGCTTAATATAGTACCTATTAATAAAGACGTGGAAGAAAGGAAACGGCCTACCTTTCAAAAATTCGGAGATTAGTGGCTCCATTCATTGGCTCCATGATGGAAACGTTGGCGATCCTTTATTAACGACAAATGCGTCATAAAACACCTCTAATCTTCGCGCAGTGTCGAAATAATTTGTCATGTCCATTGAAATTCGTTTCGGGGCCACTGGGCGATGGATCCGCGTGGCTGTCCTCGTTAATGCCGAACAGTCATTAGCTCCCGCAAGCGGCCGGTTTATGCTGGAGCGATGCGTGGGTGAGCGCTGTGGAGCGTCGGCGATGGTGGGCCGTGGCCGCGGAAATATCATTGGACACCGAGGGCGGTGGCGGCGGCGGCGGCAACGCGGGCGACGGGCCCCGCGGCGCGGTTCCATTATTCAGCAGCGCGGCTCTGTAAGGAGGTTAGGACTCGCGACCGCGTTCGCCCGATTGGATTAGCGGTGAAGGATCGGCGGTCTCGGCCGCCGCGACCGCCCACTGCTTCCGCCGCCCCCACACGCCGCTCGCCGCGCCCCCCGCCCCCGGCGTGGTTTCTTCCGACGCGGCCGTTCGTCCTCTGCGGTCGGCCCCGTCCGCCCGGCTGACCTTCTGTATCGCTATCCCCGATGCATCGTCATACGGCGATCTTTTTTCATGTTTCTATCTTCGTGCTTAGCCATTTGTCCGCGACTCTCATTGCCATTGAAAGAGAACGCCTATTACGGTTCCCTCATGTGTTAAGACGTTTCAGCACTCAGATTTTCTCATTCAGCTGTTTTACGTGTCATTGTTGTTTGTTTCTGGTATAATTCAGTTGGACAAAGTTTATTTTCATTCTCTATAAATGTTTTGTTTTCAAAATTCACAGCATTCGCCATATTCCCCTATTCTATCCCCTATTTTTTACCTCTCCTCAAATATTTATCCTGCTTTACATTTCCCCTGGTTTAATTTCCGTTAATATTCTAATGTGAATTGTCATGTTTCGATTTCATTTGCTTAATTTTTCATGGTTCATGTTTGAAAATAACACTCTTCATTTCCATAGGTCTCGCTATATTTCATTTGCGGCAAGTATTATTATAACAGACTGTCACTTCTGACCACCTCTGGGTTACGTAATAATAAAATAATTTCGAAATTCTGAGCACTAAATGACATAAATGAAATGAAGTAGAAGAATATCTAAGAAATTCGTATTTTACTCTTAAAAGTACACCGATAATCTATCTGTAAAACTAATTAAGTTGAAATAACTTGGTGCTAGCGTAGTTTTGTGGTCTCTTCTTTCCAGGATGAATTTGCTTTTTTAAGGAGTACGTCTTCCTCACCGTATGTCCTGGTCATTATTAAAACTTTTTTTGTCCCTTTATATATTTAATACATATTGAGGATTGAAGAAGGTTGAAGAACGTAGAACTTTTCTGTTTATTGTTTCTTCATTATCTCATGGTCATATGTTTAATTAAAGTATTTAGCACTATTAGCAAAAATTTAATATGTGTCTAGTATGTGAGAAATTTTTTTTGTACATTATAAAAAGTGAGAATTTGCAATTTAAATCGTAAATAACTGCTTTTGTTGGTGATCTCTCTCTTTTCATTGATTTTACGTATAAAAAACTTGTTCTGTTCATTTAGTAACTTTAATTTTCTCTTCCAATTTTTTGGAATTTTTATCAGTACTATTCATCGTTTAGATTTTATTACATAGCCTTCAAGCCTTTCCTTTTTAGAAAAGCTCAAAACTCACACCCTTCCTCTCCCGTTATCCCCTCTTTACCACTCAACGTACCCCTTCCACGAGTGCCAGAATCACGCTGAGTTCCCTGCGGTCAAGTTCCCTGCGGTCTAAGTGGCGAGTGAAGATTAGTGTGAGTGAATCTTCCACGTTTTACGATTTATTTCTGGCAAGTGTGTGTTGATTGTTCGAAAACAAAATAAGTTTCTGAATGCTGAGGTTGTTTTTTTTTAATTTAAGAATCATAAACAGTTATTTCGTTTTACGTGTGCATCTTGTGAAAAAAGATGGATCAGGAGATTCTGCAGGTAAGAATTATCAGTGGGAAGAGAATGTTCATGGTTTATATTTATTATATATAAAATGTTCACATCATCATATATAACTGTTTAATCCCTATCACCAATCTAATATCAATTTGGGCTGATGGTAGAATTTGCCATATTAAAGGGTAAATACTATTACATTAACTTTCATTTCAAATTGTATATGATATCGGGATTTTACAGAGTAGACATGAACTGTCCTTGAAAATAATGTAAATAAACTTCAATTATTGTATTGTTCAAAAATGCAATGTAATACGTTCCGATAGTTGTTGAATAGCACAAGGGTCTGGACTTTCAAACAGTAATATCCGTGTTAGATGCCACCTAAGCGAACTTTGTGAAATTTTACCTTTCTCTTTTCTGAAAATGACATGATTTGAGCCGTTCTCTCATTTACATTATTTATTACCGTCCTTGGAGCAGCAGTACCCCTCACACGTGATATTATCTAATACTAACATTTTTGTTTGTTTGAACGTATATCGGATTGGGTCGGATAAGACACAGCTAACTGTTAACGTCACAATTGTTTCAAAAATATGCAGTTATTTTAATATTTCTCCTTCCTGTACAAGATACAAGATTGATTACAAAGTGTATCTCTCCACTTTCGAACTAATTTTTAGAGCGCTTTACATTTATTGTTTGAGCAATTAGGAGGGTTGTCCCTTTCGTTGGCGCTGGAGGCCTTGCAAACGTCTGTGATTCAAAACTACGACGCGAGTGTTCGATCGATGTACGTTATTACGAAGTTATGATGGTATCTGGCTGCTGTCAGAAGTCTGTTTTGACACTGCAATGATATTTATTCAATGGGCATCAATATGTTCTTGTGCATAAACAATTTTTCATGCTTTTTCTTTATCGATTTTAAAACGAAAATAACAATAACTGTGAAAACCTGCTTTTCAATTTTCTTACGTTCCTTCCTCTCGTGAAAAAATATTCAAAAAACAGTGTAAATATTTGGAATACAAATCTATAAAATATTTTTATGGTAAAGTCTCTCGAAGTTTCTAAAATGGAAATATTACAGTTTTTTAAATTGAAATTTACCAGCAAAAATTAATTAAAGTTTTGTTTTATAATTGAGTAATTACCAAGTCATTCTCTCTATCCCAGATATTACATTTAGGGTTTTAGAATTAAGAAAACAATTTTTTACACCACCAGTAGTAAAAGCTACTTTTTTCAAGGCATGTGTGGCCTGCTAAAAGTTCAATTTTTAGCACTAGTGCTCAAAGTCCTGAACTGTTCAAATATCTGTGAATGCAACAAAGAAAATAATATTATTTCGTCTGATCACATCATCTACTACTGACCTTAATGTGATCTTGAATGATTGATTTGCATGCTTGAATGAAACAAAAATTAAAGTCACTAAGGCTGTGTATGGTACTGGTGGTAAAAGTGATTTTACTTTTCTCGTGGAGACGAGAGGGTAATGGGAGTTTAAAAATGGAAACATCTTTGGTGTGTTTACCTTACACCATGAGTACTTCATAGTTCTTCTTGATCACAGACATATTACGTACAGAATTGATTCAAAACTTTGTTGGCAATGTTCTACTTTATTATTTCGGTACACATTTTCTGCATCTGTTTAAAATTAGGTTTCTCATTTTCATTGATCAATTTTTTTTTCAATCTCTTTCTGCTTTTGAGTGCTGTAAAAATACTTGTTAATGCAAAATAATTGTTTTTAAGTCACGTTAGGCTCTTGAGAATGAATAAAACCCCGTTCGGGTGGCATTCAACATTCCTTATCTTTTGCGTCCCCAAATACAGGACGAGGAGTATTGAATCAGTTGTAATTCTAAGAAAGAGGAATAAAAACGCCAGAGTTTATATTGAATCGTGAGGTTAAGGAAGGGACGCGAAACAGCTGGAGGTTCACGGAATCGCCTCTGAGGGGTGAGCTCCGGGGGCGGCGGTGCTTTTGGATCGCTATAGGTCAAGATCGTTTGTTCAAAGGCTATCCGAGGAATACAAACACTACCCAGCCGTATTTTACGTATTAGCGTAGTACGCACGACAAGCCATGTGGAACATATGACGGAGAGGTCGCCTCTTCCATTCCCGCGTTGGTATTCACGCTCGTTTGTCAATGTCCTCGCTCATTGGCACGGACGCGCGGTGAGGTGACTGCGGCCAGGCGGTGGCCGCGGGGCGTCCTTTGGCCTTTGAAGTGGCGTTCTAATGATCGCCGGACGGCGACCCGCACCGCGCCGCGCCGCGCTGTCACCTCACCTCTCTGCGTAACGGATGAACGCGCTTTTCCATTTCACAGGCTCTCGATATTGATGTGTAGGACGGGCTCCTTGCCATTTGCGAGTTCGTTTATTTCCTCAGGCGAAGTGTAGATAGGCTGCGATACTACTGCGAAACGTACTAAGAGACAAAGAATATTTTCTCTGCATGATTTCGGGCGATAAGAGTTTTTCTAATATGCAATTGTTATTTGCTCTTCTTGTGCCAGTTTATGACGGAATATTGCTTGCTTGTTATTATTTTCTTGCCAGCTCGTGTATATTTTTTGTGTAGCTAGTTTGTGAAAATTATAGTGTGCTTAAAATAAAGAAAAGTGATAGAAAAGGCAATTTAGCTGTGTAAATTAAAGTTCTGACTCAATTTCATTTTTACTGTGCTTTAACACTAATTGCTTGCCTTTAATGCGGAGAACGAGTGAAACTCAGGTTTTTTAGTATTTTCAGCGACTCGTCTGACGAAAGCGTTTTCTACGCGTTGCTTAAAAGGTCATACTTTTGTTGAGCACTATGGTATATTTGCATGGCTCATTTTCATTTAAGCAACGCTACTTCATTAAGAAATCGGTTTTTTCGTTTTGCAATTTAATTCTCATTTCTATTTGTAATATATGAATGGGAAGAATATCCTTGTTTCTACTTTCTTCCTTGGATCATGTTTATTTCTTTGCTAGTCGAAACTTGGGTTCTTCGCCGTCACGAGAAACGCAACAAGTTCCCTTTCCCGCGAGATCTCGTTTTGTCGAGCGGAACTTTAATTTATAAATAAAATGATGTCGGAGCGGGTGACGGAAAGCTAATAAAGTTCGGCAAAGAAATCTTCTCGCCGAGAGTCGCGAAATGGGCCCCAGAAGGCGCAGTGCTGACAACTTGGCCCGCATTAATGGAAAAGTTGAAAAGTTGGCTGCGGTTAATCCCACGGCGCCGCCCGGTCACGACCTTTGGGCGTTGAGGACCTCGGGGTGGCTGCGGCTGGGCAGTGCCGGCGCGACGGGAAATATCGCTCGTCCAATGGAGCAATCATATAACTTCTGCATTGGACGAAAGAAGGTAAATAGATCGGCGCTGCAATTATTCATTTATTTACTTAACGTCAAGAACAGTTAAAAGCTGTGTGTGACGTGCTGCGAGAAGACGAATACTGTATGCACGTATTATGAAATGCTGGGATTCATTCTGTAACCCATATACAAATTGAATTCTAAATACAGATGAAATGAGCATCTTTGGCAAGAACTGAGCAGGAAAATTTATTCCAGTGTAATAAAACCTATTTGAAAATAAAATCAGCTACGGAGTACTTCTCGTCGTGCCCTTTGTGAAGAAATATCTTAATACATCTGCAGATATATCGACTGAATTTTAATTTTCTTGTGATCCGCATGGGGAAAGTTACGTCGTTGTTGAAAGACCACGAGACTGTGACCTAATTTGAGAATAACAACAACGCATCACTTAATTGTGTGATGTTATTGCAAGAAACTTCCGCTTTTTTGATATAACATTACCAAAAGTGTCTTTGTGTTTTTGTGAAAGGAAGAGCAGGCGGAATTCAGCGGAAAAATGCCGTGTCATATTTGCTAAATGTTCACCTTCGAATGGTGCGACGTATTTTTTGTTTGTGACATTGTTTATCTAACTGATTAATGGAAATCATCTCATAATTGTAAACTTTAAAAAAGGTTGATGAATTTCCGAGGAACACACAGAAGAATTTCCAAGGAAATCACAGAACTGTCAGAAATATTAATATTAGAAAAATCTATAAATAGTGATACTTAACATGATCTTCGAAAGAAGTAATATTTTACCTAGGCACTAGGCATTGTGACAATTGCTGTGTGTACGAGCATAATGATCGTGGAAATATTGTATTTGAGAATTTTACTTCTCGTGTAAAATTCCATTTTCTTCGTAGTACAACATCACTATTTCATTGTATAAGAGATACAAAAAGTTAATAATTTTTCTTATACTTTCGATAGTCACACCTCGCTCATTATATAGCTTGAATTGACAGTTAGATCTTGGTATTACTCCTTGAAAAGTACAATGAAGATTATCAATTACAATTATTCGAAAAGTTGGAATTATTCTTATACTTTCATGGAGTTTTTAAGAATGTAAGTAAATAAAATTATCTCATCGTAACAGTTGACAAGAATAATTTTCACGCTTCAGTATCATACAATACAATTGTGCCATACAAAAAAATGTTTCTCTAATATATGTAAGATAGAACGTACAAAACGAAAACATTTAATACCCTTCGTAGTACATTACACAAGTTCACCAACACGTATCTGCACACTCATATGTTGTTGTAAAATTCGTTAGATTTTTTTCCTCTTTGATTATTTACAAAATGAAGGAAACCATGTAAACATTATTTTAAACACAAATTTTTGGGGGAATTAATATTGAAATTATATTATTCAATAAGTCTCATTAACCAGTCTACTTTCTTGAGTCCTTCATATTTTTAATAAGAACGTTGAATTTTTCATTATTATCTGGCTGGAACTATATTGACACACTCAAGTTTGTTGTAGTTAACAGTTATCTTACCTATTTTCTTAATTAAATTACCACTTATTATTTTCAGAAATATCTCTCTTGATCTGCATTCGTTTCTAGAAGGATTTTCTTTCAGAAAATGTATTTCTATTTGAGGTTCCAATACTCATTGCACGATAATACTACAAAGGATTT